ACATATCAGAACCAACGACAGGATTTATTTGACATGAACGCGTGGTATTGTCTAGGTACTGCACTACCACAGTGAAAGTGAACCTATTCAATTCAGTAGTCACACTAAAATGCAGAGTAAATGGTTATAACTGACAACGAGGGGGCTGAACATCTAGCATTGCTTTCTTTTTGAAAAGTAGGCTGCGTCAGTTGAGTTTAAAAATGCCTTTTTCCACTATTCAGTTTTTGCCTCTATCTTACTAAGGGTAGGTATATGGGCAGGAGTATCATCCTCGTTTCTTAGTTTCAGATCTGGTTTCGGTATTTTTGTCAAACTACCTGTATCATACACATCAATCAGAGGTTCGCTATCCAGTTTCATCCTGATATTTTTATGACCCTGCTGCTAGAAACGGGGATTTTCTTCTCATTACTAACCCGTAAACGTGGATCACTAGCTCTTGGATACAGTACTCGGGGGTAGTCTTGTATATGTAATGTTTAAAACGTGAAAATATAACCTCAACTAGCAAATAAAGGCTTTCCAAAGTGACCATTACATCCAGGAGGCTTTCGTGGTTGCTGTGTGCGTGAAAGCAATGTACCGTTCATTATATACTGATAGCTATAACCGTGTATAGTAAGCAACAGAACATCTTATAGAACTAATTTCTAAGCCCCAACTTTGGGACCATGTAACTGACTCGCGTATTCCAGCCTCAAAATCAAGACGATGATTTTCAGTGCCTAATGTTTTGAGAATTTCGACATCTGCCAAGAGTGTGGTGGACCAACCAATATATTATTTCAAAATATTAACAAAGTTATCGAATATCAATAAACGTATATTGAAATATACCAGTTAAATGCGATAAATACAATAAAAATATAAGAACGTTACTTTATGCAGCTACTTGTGCGTGTTCGATTTGTTCTGGTGGTACTTTACCACAATTGTTTTTTCATTTAATATTTCAAATGCCATGCTAATCCAAAGATCAGTATGTGTATATGACTGCAGTCTATAAAGTAGATAACATACATATTAATTATTATGAATGTAATCCAATCTTTCGACCAAACCATTAGCTACTGGATGATAAGCTGTGGTTTTGATGTGGTTTACTCCCAGTAGTTTAGCGAATTCCTGGAATAGAACAGATTGGAACTGGGGACCACGGTCGGTAGTAATAATTGAGGGAACTCCGTAATTAGATATCCACCGATCAAGAAAAACTGCTGCTACTGTTTCTGCCGAGGTATCTGGAATCGGACACGCCATCGACCATCGGGTAAATCTGTCAACCGCGGTGAGGATATGAGTAAAGGAGTTTGATTGTGGTAATGGACCAACGATATCTAAATGAACGTGTTGAAAGCGTTTGTCAGGAAGCGGAAATTTACCAACAGCACTTAATGTGTGTCTTTGTACCTTACCACGTTGGCACTGTAAGCAGCTTCTGGTCCAACGTTTTACATCCGAGTTAATTTTAGGCCAAACGAAACGTTTCGTTATCATTTTAGTGGTGGCTCGTATTCCCGGATGTGAAAGTTCGTGTAACTGTCGGAATACTTGTCGTCGACAGGCGTCAGGTACAAAAGGACGCTGATTTCCAGTTGATACGTTGCAGATTATCGATGCGTTGGAGAAAGGGATAGGTACCGGTCTGAGGATCAAGTTAGACTTTACTTTGCAGGCTTCTAGTTCTGCATCGTCTACTTGAAGTTTGGCAAGTGTTTCAAGGTTGATATCTGGTTTGCGTACCAGAGTGTTGATATCCCTGCGTGATAAGGCATCGTCGACGACATTGCTATGTCCTTTAATATACTGGATGTCTGTAGTAAATTGAGAAATATAGTCAAGTTGCCTGGCTTCCCGAGGTGAATGGCGATCATATGATACGTTAAAGAAGTAGATTAAAGGCTTGTGATCAGTCATTATAGTTAACGGACGTGCAATGGTGTAAACGCGAGGCTAACGAACAAAACTACTAGATGAGACCAAACTACGTCCTTTATGAATGACAACCCAAGGGATTTTGAAAGACAGATATTAGATTATATCAAAACGCAAATTCTAGGCTTATTTTAATCTGTCCTAGTTCAAGAAGGAGTATAAATTTTACTAAAATTATGGATTTCACCAAACGTTACAGTCTGTACTATAAACTCAAAGGTAACTTCAGCACCGAATAATGTACTAGATAGCAAAATGAATCAATAGTAAATAAACGTTACGTACCTGAAAATAAACATGAATATATAAACAAAATGAGATCAAATATCTATCATCAAGTATTTGAGTAGCTTTTTCCAGTATGCAGTCAATAATCAATAGCCGTCAACATAGGATATGGTTACGGAGATCTGAGTAAAATGTCTGATAAAGAATATAGAAATGATAATGCTGTCTTATAAAACAATTTGGAGGAATTTCTGATGTATCCTTTCTGCCACCTAAAGTTAGCTCACTTATATCCGCTCCATAATTGATTTTATATTAGTCCTGCGTTTCAGTGCCTGATTCACTGGTTAAATTTCTGACGGTTCTCGTGTCGGTCACATTTATGCGGGTGAATCGAGTTGACTGAGAGTTTTTACGGTGCCAAGGATGGAAGTGGGGAGGGTTCATTTTCGCTCTCAAAGTTCTGCCATATGGCTTGGCAAATATAGCTATAGTGAGATGCCCTTCTCTCGCCGAGGTTTTTGTTGTTAATAAAATTTGGGACGAAGAAGGGAGAACCGTGCTGGTAGGCACAAAGGACCCACTTGGTGCATATGGAAAACTGTGATTACAAACCTGTGGTTCATACCATCTTCGGAATCCTAATGGAACGAACGGTGTATTAACTCGTTTTTGGTTGCCGTCCAACATGAGACCGCATCTCTTAACGCTGCCCCATTGCCCTGTGGACTAGACCTTTCGGTTTTGCGTTAAGGAAACCACCTGCTTCGATCTGAGCATGTGAATAGTGTCCCAGTCCATACACAAATTCAACATCTTATGTGGTACATATATAGTTGGTGTTTAAATAAATAAATAATAAACGTGGTACGCGAGTCCTTTGATTTCACTATCGTTGGATGAACGAGCAGTCTTTCACTTCACCTTAGCATACAGTTGTGGTGGATACTATCCACAACGCGTGTTTTAAGTAGTATTGAGAAGAGTGTCTCCCGCGTGATGAAAGTTTTTGAAGATCAGAAGAAGGAATACAGCAAATGGAAATGTGACTATAAAGAGTACACATTTTGATAGTAAACTGTGTCCTTCCTTAATACATTACCATTTCATCTGGTCTTGATCTATTCGTTCGTTACACAGGTACTAGAGGAGCGGGTACTAGTGGTTTGTCATAAACACGTATTACCGATTAAATACTGCAGTGTCTCAACAGCAGTGCACCAGAATATGGCAGAAGTTGTGTTCGGGTACTATCGCTTGTGATAACTCGTGAAGAACATTGCAAACAATCATTTCCATAGTCTGTCAACTCCTCTACAAACGGGCTTGTTCTTCGAAGATCTAGTTTCAGAATCAGAATTCACAGTCAGATTGAGACCCTTGTTGTTTTCTTGCAAAAACTAGAGCGGGTGTTATTACTTGATATCCAAAAAATGAAAGATACAGAAAGCAAATACAGCATTTCAAAAATTAAAATGAATACGGAGAATTATTTCAAACTTTTGAGATTTAAGTGAATTTCGAATTTAAAATCAGTAATTTTCAAAAACGAAGGCCGAAAACAATAATTAATGTTGGCTTTTTGATGCTTTGTAGATAGAATGTCCTCAAGTTTAGCCAACAGAAAATTACTATTATAAATTAAGCAGACTAAATAACCGCTTTCCAAATGCATCTCTGAACAGTATCCCGCTTTGATTTCGGAAAAAGAATGTAGACCAGTCAGACGGTTCATTACTGGATTATCTTGCAAACTCTCATCAAACTACTCCACATGATAAATCCTTCAGAATCATTTGATTCGAGTGGGGCACAAATTACTAACTTATGCACTGTAGAAGAATAAAACATCATTCTTCCTAAACCCGAAGTCTGTGGGCGAAAAAGACATGTGCAAGCCAACATTCTTTCATGACCCTAACAGTTCATTTTCCCAAACAGTAATACGATTGTCGATAACCCTTCTCTATGTTCAACATTTTTATTATCATTTCCACATTCTTAATTCATTCTTCAACATCCTTTCACTTGTTAAATGAGCCATTATCATTCTCACATTTGATTTCAGTTTATTATCTTTCTTACAATTCTCGATCGACAAGTAATTTCCTTTTACATATGCATAATATGGCTATCGTCCTCATATTTTTTCAGTAGATTATTAATTTAGATAATTAACTATAAATGCAATTGTACAGCTTAGTAAGTCATATCATCCAAAAGAAAATTCCCTCCTTTGAATTGTCTCTATATTTTATTCCATTACATCATAGGTTTCTTTCATTACTACTTAAAATTTTGTTAAGTAAACTTAAATCAGTTCTTTTACTAATCAGTAGTAATAAGTTTACACGCTAAAATAGCATGAAATATATGTAACTTACCAATGGAATGAACAATTTAACCTTTATTTATCAGAGGAAATAAGCTGGATATCGTGCTTATCACTCCAAAACTCCAATCTAAAACTGTTTTTCACAACCAGTAAAAGAAATAAGTGGTTTTTTAAAACAAAGAATTGAAAATACCAAATATTTACGTCAGGATAAACACATTTTGAATAATTTATCAATTATTAACAATTTTGGTTTATATTGAAAGTCTGATAGTTATTGACTGTGATTAAATCATAACGGTCATCTTAGTGTTTCATTACTCAGTTACGGTGAAGGCAACACACATACTTATACACACATATCCTTTATTGATAAATTATGATTGGATAACGTGGAATATTAAATCAATGAATAATTAAATAGTTAGAATTTGAACACCTTAGTATGCAATGAACACCTGAAAATACACTAATTTTCCAGCATAACAATGTGAAGAAAATGCAGAGTAAATCGTCATCGTTACAGTCAGAGAATCTTTCTCCTATTCACCATTATCACCGTAATCATTACCGATATCAGAAACATGGTGAACATTTTTTTCGATTACCGTATTACATTTTATTAGTAGCACTACTATTATCTTTATACTTTTTAGCAACATCTCTGATAATGGATGATAATTTGTTTGGTAAGTGCATTTCATTTAATCAATTGATACCCATGAGATTCATTCATTAAGTTCTAATTATAAGTTAATATTATTAAATTATAACGCCTTTCTATTCAATTTTTTTTGTCATTTTCTGTCATTAAACCATTCAAGTCAGAAAAACACGTCATATAATGCACGGCATATTGTTTAATCAAATCACTAAAATATTTTTCGAAAACCAATGCCAATTTTGTGCATGTAGGCCACGAATGTGTGTATTTATCTATCGGATTTTAAGTGAATATTTAAATGACTCATAGAATCTTTTAAACTGCATACTTCATTTAGTAGTAATCGTCAATAGTTATTGATAGTAATGGCGTCATGTAGCAGCAGGGGTATTAATTTATGATCAATATCAGTAAAGCCAAGTTAATTGCCCTAAAGATAGTTAAACATCTTTGTTTGACAGCAGTTTTTATAGGTGAATACTTTAAGAGCAGAATGTACTAAACACTAAGTCATCATACAATGTTTATTAACGATATTTAAAAATTCACATAAGCTACTAATTTTACAAGGAAGACAAGTCTCTCCAGATAAGGCTTCCTCAATAAGTTAGCTTTTCTCATTCTCTCTTCCTTACTTTTGCAATATCTCATGTTCATCATTTCAAGTAGATTCGTTTTGTTTTGTTAGTGTAATAGTATATTTATGGTCAGCAACTATATGATTTATTAATGTAAATAAACTGGCGAATAAAAGTTAAATTTAAAATTTAAACTATCACCTGGTAAATACATCAATAATAATTGGAATAATGTACACATCAACATATCAAAATATAATTCCCTTTTATACATAAAGCAGATTAAAAAGTCTTGCGTAATATACCCATTTTGTATTGTCTCGGAAACAGTTTGACGGGAAGATTATGCTGTTTCAAGTTGTATTATTCAGTATATTCCGCAACACCAATAAAAATAGTAGTCATAGACGCATCTTCTTTTAAAGTCCGCTTCATATTAGTTCACATGAGCTATCGAAAACTCAGTGATGACTACCTTTCTCCTCTAACTAGACAAGTGTCACTAAGTAAAACTATGTGCCTGTGAAAGGCCATTTTACTGAATACAACAAAATGTTAATATACTGAACTGCTTTTTCAAGTTAATGTAATAACCAAAGGCAAATGCAAATAAGTAACTGTTCAACTAGTTTAAGCCATGATTGTTAAATCATTCAAAACAGTTAGTCTTTTTAATAGACTTGAATAGTGAACAACCAGTTTATCATTCTAGGCATAATAATCAGTGGAAAAGATGATGGCTCCATCAAACGTTCTTTACAAAGCCGGAATTGATGGGATATTGTCTTAATTTTCATAGTCACTGTACAGTCCAGCAAAAAAGCGGGTTAATAAAGGGCTTATTCAGTAGGATCAATTACATTCGCGCTAGAGATAATATCAGGCGAGATGTTACCTGAAAATTGATATATGTTGGTTGTTCATTTGAGTTTATGAAAAGATGTAAAGTAAGTAATATTACGAGATGGAGTAAGTTTTTTGACACCGAAAAACCAAGTTTATATTACCTTACCATTCAAGAGTGACTCTAATAGGCTTATGTTGGAACAAAGGCTTACATTAGCTATCAATAAGATATTTTGCGCAGTCCAACTCATCATTACCGAAAAGTCAGGATTTATGACTCACTAAAAACTCAAGTAGCTGGCAAACGATTACGTCACATCCAATTGTGTTCATCAATTTACATGTGTTGGAAATACATGCATATGGAGAAGTAATCGTGATCTGCAAGTAATGGCAGCTGAACGCATCTAAATGGTTGTAAATAGATATCTTCCTACGTTCCCAAATATTTGACTGAGACAGTTAATAGGCGTATATAAGTGTTTGTAAAAGCCTTATATATACGAAATCTGAAACCACCTTATTTGTTCAGCAACACTTTGTTCTTATATATTTAACCTACCCTGGTAATTCTCATTTGTTATTCAGTGTGACTTTTACATCATGTACCTCTCTTTGCTTTATCGTACTTTCTCATTTATCTAGTTACCTTTTCATTTTTTCATACATAGACTTCACATCTACCTGCAGTTTGTGTAGATGATGTTGTTCAGAAGAACATTGAAAGCTCCACAACAGAACCACCCAACTCAGAGAACCAAATTCCACCGTAATACTATCATAAGTAAATAAATGTTACTGTTAATTTGTAGACAATTACCATGACATTAGGGTTTGATCCGTGTAGTGGTAGAGGACGCTCACTACTCTCGAGCTCAACACTATGATAAAATAACTTTACTGTGTTTCCTAGTCTTTTTCTGCCTGTTTAGTTACAGTTAATTTATCAAGTGAAACTGTAAATTCAACAACTGAAATATCTCATAAAAAAAGAAATAGTACAAATCCTTCATTTTATGCATACAATTTCGGTTTATTTAATTCGATATACCAAGCTGGTATTTTATTTGCATTCATTAAATAAAAAATCTATATTGGTCTACATGACTACATAAATCAAGAGAACGTTTACACTTTCTAACATTTGTCTAATTAGCATTGTAAATTATGTATGATATTTTTATCATGTAATTTCATTGAATTTTCATGTTACATGATGGTAATCCAACCAATTGATCTATAAAACTAATTTTGTGTGAAATTTTCTGATATTTAAACCTCTAGAATAAGATTGCTTACTACTCTATTGCAAATATCTCGTTTCTACAGAAGCCAAGCGCGGCCTAAGTGGTAGCACCCTAGACTGTGATTACTGACTCCCTTATGGTTCTTGGAAAGCCTTAAAAGTGCCAGCCAAAAAAAGCCCAAGTCCAAAATTCTTAGCTAACCATTTTTAACCACTTAACATCACTGCACAGAGCACGCGATGTTGAGTCGTATAGACTATTGGTTACGGTGTAATTTGGCTGGTTAAATTCGATTAGCTTAAAGGGCTAGATAAACATTACACTGGTCACTTCTAAATAACCAACAGATCCTACACGTTTAAGGTTGATGAGTTTGAAAAATTTAAGTTACCTATTAACTAATATTATCTGATTAATTATTCTTGATCTGTTACTAATTTCCTATTCATAGTTTCCTATACTCACAGCTACTTTTTTTTTTAACTTCGTTGTGCATAATTGTTATTTTTCACTTTATGGTGTCGAATATGTATAAACTATGTATTGTCAAAATATATCATGCGTATAGTGAAGGCTGATTACTGTGTTCTGGACTAAATGAGCAAACCAGGGAAGGAACTGTCTTAACTGAGGACCAATAAGATCATAGCAGTGACTCAAAGCTCCTAGTGCTGGTTGGCATGTCACTAGTTTGATCTTGGACAAGTTTATAGAAATTCATATTGGTGGTTTTATCGCATGATATTGGTTGGTGAGCGGCTGACAAGTTACAATCAAAATCAATATATTCAATTAGTGTATACTATCATTAACGGCATAATCATTTTAGACCATTATATCCGATAAATGTTTTAATAGCAATACAGCAAAACTTACATCAAGCAATCCATTTGTTCAAATTACAATATATATTGTTTACATAATTTACAATAGAATGAATTGTTTCAAGCATAATAGTGCTCAGCAGGAATTTAGTTTATTTTCAATTAGTTTTTAATTCTTTTGTTCATGGTGATTTTCCACAGTAATTAATTTTTACATTAACACACCACTGTTTGATTGCTTTTATTAATACTACTATTTATTATGATTGTCAAAACATTAGTGCATTGATGTCATAATGAAAAAAGAAATGGAAAGAATTTTTTTTACTTAACTAAATAGCTGAATGGTTAAGAAATGTGTGACATTGAGAACATATAAACATCTGAATAAGTTATACTGTATTTAATCTAATTAAAATCAAATTGCACCGCTTTTCCTCAACACCCAATAATTCCCATTCACCAAACAACGTGGTTGATGAAATTAATGTGGAAAATTATTATCAGGAAAATTTTCATATTTACTAAACGTACTTTATCAAAGGTGTTAGGTCATTTTTCCATTGATTTTATGTATGAGTGTTCACTCCTAACGTGTAACTGTTACTATGGTTGTGTCTTTCATTCGGTCCATCAGGCTACCCTTTATTGAATCTCTCTATCAAAAAGTTGAAAATAATTCCAGACATTTAACTTTATTTCAGCTGAGTTAATTAGGTCGAAACATATATATGTATTTAAAACAATTAGTCCTTTTAATAAATTTTTATAGAACAGTGAGAAGATTAACTTATCTCGGGAGTCTCATCAGCGCTGATGGCCTGGTGACTGACGAAACCTCAGCACAGATACAGAAGGCTCGATTGGCTTTTGCCAACCTGCGTCACTTATGGCGTAGGCGTGATATCCGTTTGCTGACTAAAGGATGAGTGTACCGCGCAGTAGTTCGCTCAGTCTTACTTGATGGCTGTGAAACATGGCCAATGAGAGTAGAAGATATTCGTACGTTACTGGTTTTCGATCATAGGTGTCTTCGAAGCATTGCTCGTATATCATGGGACACCCGAGTGAGCAACGCTGTTATTAGGAAACGGGTGCTAGGTAAGAATGGCAGATCAATCGATGAAGTGGTGAAACTTCGTCAGTTGAGGTGGTTGGGACATGTGTTACGTATGCCTAACCACCGACTGCATCGTCGAGCTTTGTTTCGTAGTGTAGGAATAGGTTGGAAGAAAGTTAGGGGCGGCCAAACCAAAACATGGCAGAAATCCATGAAGTCATTGACGAGTGGACTTAGCCATGTCGGTAGTTGTCGACTACCTGGTTGGGGTCCGCGAGATGATAATAATCGATGGTTAGATACCCTGAATGACATGGCTCAAAACCGTTTGCAATGGCGCCGGTGAATTTATTCTTTGTGTTTTCTCAAATCCTAATCTTCTGGATTCTTCAACACCTCTAGTTTTGACTCTCTAAACTTTTCTCACTGAATCATACTTCTTGAATAATATCTTCTAATCCTAACCTCTCCGATTACTTCTAGTACCTTTACTTCCCCTTCTACTATTGGATTTGAACTAACAATTATATCTCTGTGCTGATGTGGTATGGCAACATGAACTTATGTACTTACGTACGAAGTTCTACGTTGCATCTGACTGACTGACTGAGAAGATCAATTACGTCTTCTCACTGTTCTATCAAAATATATATGTATATTGAGAAATAATATAACTGAACCTTAATAAGTGATATTTAGAAAGCAAAGACGAATACAAAGTCTAGATATTATAATCATTTATAAACAGACAATGGGAGAGACATAAAGCCTATTTTGTCTAAAATATGTACATAATAATAATCTGGACATTCGATTGTCAGTTTACCTTTTTGAATAATCACTTTATCAAAACAAAGCTCTGATAATTGAGCCAACCATCAGGTTGTATATAACAATTTTCAATTTAAAATTGGAATGAAGTGTCTTGTTCGATCATAAAGTGATATTAATATGATCCAACTAGAAAAAAACCTGTATCTCACGAATTACATTCTATCAATTTGTTTACCATAGCCGAATTCTAATGAATCAGTGTTCCCTTTTGATTTTGTAACACAACACATTGTAGAGAAGCGGTACATTCAACTAAAATTAGAACAACACATATAAGCGAACAATATTGTTTTCGATTAGATCGTCATCAGGCTTTACTCTAATATACATGAATATTTATACGAAAATGTTTAACCAATCAAAGCAATTTGAGTGATAATCACAATGAAATGAAAAAGATTACGTCACTACACATAATAGGTGGAAAAGTACAAGTGGATAGTAGGAAGACAGGTGTACTGATAGTAGTAAGAAAATTATAAAATATGATAACTAAAGTTTTATCAATAGTAGGTCAGAGGTGGATGAATAGAATTCAAATAAACATCCACCTTTGATAGAATGTAATTCGTGAGATACAGGTTTTTTCTAGTTGGATCATATTAATATCACTTTACGATCGAACAAGACACTTTATGCCAATCGAAAACAATGGGAATCTTTAATATTCAACTAAAAGACAAAATTACAGTCATTAGTGAATCTTTCAAATTTTTGCTGGATTTAGTCATAATGTTAAAGTATGATAACTAGCAGAAGAGAATGGTCATTGACTTATTTTAAGTTAATTTTTATCTTTCATTATTCTTGTGATATTTGATAAGTACGTCATTTACATTAAGCCAGATACAGAATATTTTTTCTAGAAATAACGATTTTTAACTTCCTAATAGACAACCACCCATTCATTTGATTCAGTGAGCAAGTCACCAGTTTCGATAACTCAGATATTTTACGATCGGATCATCTAATAGACTGACTATCAGTGACTGGTTAATTCAGTCGATTACCTTAATAACCGATCAGCGTCTAATGTTATTTTGAATTGATACTTCTGCTAAACATAATGAGTAAATTTAGATATTGGCTAAAATGTGAATCCATGACGGGCATTTCATCATTATCATCAGACATATATATTTGCAGTTCACACTATGACTTGAATCAAGTAACCTATACTTTAAACGCCCAATATGTCATCCACTGAGCTATTAAATCTTATTAGCCATTGGATTGTACAACTAGGATGAATTTTATTTATCTTGTGTAAGAGATCAAAGCTTCTTGTTGTTGTCATTGAAAAAAAAAGTAATCAAAAGTCAGTCCTGAATATACACAACAAAAAGATTCCAACACTTATAAGAAGGTCATCATTTTCACAGGAAATGAACACAAAACCTGTTCTTGCATTCTCAAAATATTCTCTATTTTTATTTTTAACCTGTTTAATTCATTTTTTTCTCTTTACTTTTGAATAATTAGCTGAAAATTTATCAACCAAAGATTTAGTTCAACGAATATTTAATGTACTTGCAATTGGAACCATTCTACTTGCAATGATAATTGATGTGATACAATTTTTCATGATTTATGAATATCAGAAATTATGTACAAAATGTTTATTTTGTCTTATAATTATAAGTTGTAAGTTTATCAGTAAACAATTATCTTTTGTATACATCTGAAACTGATCAGATTGTTCTCAAATAACTTTTGTATAGTTGTATTTATGTTTTAAAAATTTGCCAAGTTAAATATTGCTCAAAGTTTATCTTCAATCTTCATTAGTCTCACTAACGGAATATTGATCCTTTTGTATTATGGTAAAATACACTACTGTTCGATCATCCCAACAAGGACCAACTTCACAGTTGAATATTTGAAGGATGAATAATTTATGTGATGTTTTATTGATTCAAAAAGTGTTCTTCTCTATAGTTACTTTTTTTTTTGACTGAGTACATTTATTCCCAGTGGAATTGATTTTGAAATGAATGTAACATGCTTAATCTTATTAATGCTGAGATATGAAGTTAATCACGTTCAATATAATATACTTACAGACAACTGATTGCTCTTCCTTGTGGATTTATATGTGAATAGTTCTTTTCTCTTTATTTCTTGATACAAATGTTTCATAATCATTAGAATTTCACTCCTAGCTTATCACCGCCATCTTACTACATAAACTGATTAATTTTTCTATATCTTTGCCTTGAATTAGATCGTCATGGAGAAGTAAAGATAATAAACTACTGGTCTTGGCATTTGGCGACAATGTTATTTCAACTTCCCATTATCATGATAATATTTGTAGCTTATAAGACCGGCTTTTTCATGTTGTGGTCCTTGCAAGTTTACCTAAAGTGTAAAAAGCCAATAAATATTTAAATATGAGACTTTGACTTAATTACGCCTCATCATTAACACTAGTTTTGCGCTGTTATACCCGATCCAATTGAAGAAACCGTCTCTAATGGAGTATTGTTGAGCTTTTCCAATGACTTGAATAGATGCAATGGCTCAATGATATGAATATGGCTAGTTTTATTGCTTATAATTTTCCATATACTATCTTTAGAAAGTATGTACTTACTCTCTTTCATACTAAAAGCATAAAATGGCTTAAGATAATTTTATATTTGACGGCTTTATCTTTTGCTTTGAACTTTAAATACACGGTAAATAAAATACTGAAACACAATTTCGCTTAGTCTTTTATACACTTGATCACTTATCAAAATTTGCCCTGGAATAAATTACTTGAAATTCTTGTTCATGTTCATTAAGTAATAACAGACAATTTGTATCAACCAGTTGATGGGTGTGAACTAGTTTACATTCTGTGTAAATTAAATTCCAAAATGTAAATCAACATTCACAAACACAGTAATTTGAATATGTTTAATGATTAAATATCATTGATATAAATTGTTGGCCTAGGATATTTACACTGCCTAATTAAATAATAGAGCACTCGAACTTGTGAAATCAAGGTGACGGTCTTGATAAGCGCAAAATGAAATTCGATGCTTTAATTCTGCTGATTTATCAATCTTACACATTTCGTGTATAATTACTTAATTACTTACTTACTTACTTACGCCTGTTACCCTCAATGGAGCATAGGCCGCCAACCAGTTTTCTCCAGCTAACTCTGTCCTGCGCTTCCCTTTCCAATTCTGTCCAATTTGTGTCCATTCCTCTCATATCTTTCTCTATTTCTCGGCTTAATGTGTTCCTTGGCCTTCCTCTTTTCCTTTTGCTTTGAGGGTTCCGAGTGAGGGCTTGTCTTGTGAAGCAGTTAGGTACTTTTCATAATGTGTCCTATCCACTTCCATCACTTCTCCCTGGTTTCCTCCTCCACTGGAATCTGGTTTGTTCTCTCGCACAGTAGGTTGTTGCTGATGGTGTCTGGCCAACGAATCCGAAGTATTTTGCGTAGACACTTGTATCTTCTGGATGATGGCTTTGGTAGTTCTCCAAGTTTCCGCTCCATACAGTAGAACTGTCTTGACATTTGTATTGAAAATCCTGATTTTGGTTTCGGTTGACAGTTTTTTGGAGTTCCAGATATTTTTCAACTGTAGAAATGCAGCCCTTGCTTTGCCGATCCGCGCCCTCACCTCTGCATCGGATCCACCTTGGTTGTCGATGATGCTGCCAAGATATGTAAAGGTGTTAATGTCCTGAAAAGCATCTCCATCAAGAGTGATTTGATTGGTGCAACGTTTCATGCATACCTATTTATTAATTACCGAACAAATTTACTGCAGCTACTTGGATTTATTAAATCGAGTTTTCTGTTCATATTTCATTTGATTTTGATGCTACTTGTTTGTTTTGAAATGTGATTTCTGAAATACGGTGCACTTTTTAAACTGCTTTTACAAATCACACCATATTGATTTTATCATTTACATCTATCGTACTTTGGTCCTTTCAATTCCCAGTAGATTAGGTGGAAATTGTCTTCAAATGATAGTTTTGTTGATTAAATAAAACAGTACAATTAATCCCAGTGAATAAGCTGGTACTATTGTAGTGAATGAGAACACAGGTGGGGAAACCGAATTGTATTTAACGAAAATTACAGAGTTACTCAGTAAAATCGGAAAACCATATCGTAAATCGTTCATTTGCAAAAGATCAGTTCATCCTATGGAACTGGACTGTTCCTGTTGCCGAACATCAATCCATTGTCACTATTCATGCGTTTCATACAAATTCCATTGTTTTCTAACTCTTCCTTTCTTGATCTTCCCACATATTATGCTACCAGACTTTACGTTGACACTCACGTTATATACTACTTATAAGTAGTTCGCACCACACTATAAACTGTCTATTCATAATTACAAAAGTAAGGATTATTTGTAGAGTTTAAGGTCTAATCCAGTGTCGTTAAACGATGGATCATTTCAGTTAATACGGAATTATTTATATTTATTGTGTGAACAACTTGTAGCAAACCTAACGAAAAAAGTGATTGAAAATTCTGTTAAAAAAGAAAAATGTCAAATTTAATATATTTTTTATATTAGCATTACGGCGTTGTGAAGATTGTTAAGTTACGCATTTTTGAAACCATAAATCGATCAGTGTTAGACCACCATTAGTAAAGTATTTTATCAACTATAACAATGTTTACGTATATTAGTTAAAAGCGTAAGCATACACCATTGAACGATGAATATTATACTGTTTCCGGAATCTATCTCCATTTATGGAATGGATATATATTATATATATATCAAACTCAAACTCTCTATGCTATTCAATACAAATCCTTCAGATCCACGTACAATACACAAGACGATAAAATTGCTTCAATGTAATGCATGTTTCCATAGATTTTAACTCACGAACTGATATTATTTAATGCACTGTTGCAAGCCTGGAAGCACTGTATGATCGTTCCATGCTAACATGGAGCACCTCAGCAATGTTTATCCACTATCCATATCCAGAAATCGAAACTTAGACCATCGGTTTCGCAAGCAAACGTCTCAGCTCCTGACCATTTAACTGTGTGATATAAAATCTATCAGAAATCTATAATCTCCACAAAACCTTACATTTAAAATGCTTATGTCAATTCTAATTTGTATATTAATTGTTTGTTTTTATTTATTTTAGTTATTTTAGCAATTATTGCAGCTACACTGGCTAATATTAATTCACAATTTTATGGAACCATACAAATACCTCATCCTTCAACATGTTTATTAGCTGGCAGTGCAATTATTTTTCTGACATTTTTAATTGTAATTATTCCTTGTTTTGAAATACAGTAACAAAAATTGAAATCTTAAAAGTTGATTGATGATAATGATGATGTAAAAATAAATCAAAAGTAGATTTAATTTTATTCACAATGATCCCCGTTAATTATCTTCAACAGAGTATAAACAGAGATTGGTACAGAAGAATATGATCTCGCTTTAATATTTAGCTAGTTTCTAAGAAGCTGCTTAAAAGCGATAATTTTTTGAAATCGAAAAAATTCTCGTAGAAATCCACATACTTACTAAAACGAAGATGAATTGGTAGTTGATAGGTATTCTTTACATGTTACTATCAATTGTGTATACAAATGCATCTATCCGTCAAAGAAGTTATATTGATAGAACAGAAAGAAGAGCCTACTTCACATTCAAAGAACATAATTCAAAAAGTTTGAATTCACGCGGATTAAATGTATACACTTGTGCCATTTCAAGACATCTCCCCTGATACAAGATATCAAGTTGATAAACTGAATTCTTTCAAGGTGATTATTAGACAATCAAATCTCATTCTTCTAAAAATTTGCTGAAGCTAAAGTGACCAGAGTTTTGAAACTAGACTTGCGTATTGAAAATAGAATCAGTAATAAATCTTTCTTAGCACTGATCTCCAGTTTATTGCATTATCTCGTCTCATTTCAACGCTTTCTTAAGTTTTGATTATATCATATTCATTTCTCTTGAATTCCTAAATTTAATTCTAATTGACTGATTTCGACTCACATTATTTTTGATTACCATTGATCTGATTTCGATTACTTTGTTACACAGCTATCTGAAGTACGTATTATCTATGATATTTAATTTGAAATTTTTGCTCTCACACTTTGTTTATCTGAAACAAACTTTTTATGGCTACTGGAATTTTCGCAACGTCATAACACACACAAATTCATCTGTAAAGATTTTTCTAATTGTTTCTTGATCTCTGATAATTTTCATTTTAAAATGTTGTAGATTTTAAATAGCTGGTGAAGATCCAATGGAACAATATGAATTCATATTATTCTGCAAAAGTCTTTGTTCTTGTTCTCTTCATATAATGTTTTTATACAAAATTACCATTTATGCCCAAATAAATATGAGCAGTTTAACAAAAGTAACTCCGCCAGTATTCCCTTCGGGGCTACTGCCGGTCCCAAGCCCGGATAAAGGAGGAGGGGTTGGACATGGGGTTGGCGACCCCATCCTAACTAAAACTAACTTGCCAAAAAAAACGCTAACCAGAAAAAATGATTCAAACCATTTTCAATCTCTCCTGGGAGTTGGAAGAAGAATTATGACGTTGCTCTTCCCTCGGAAGTTACGAGGCTGATGCCCATTCTAACAACCAGAGAAACCATTCCTCTAGGTACATGGAACGTTCGTACATTGTGGGAGACTGGAAGACTAATTCAACTTGCAGCAGAAATGAAAAGATACAACCTCGAGGTGCTCGGCATCAGTGAAACGCTTTGGACACATGTAGGACAACTGAGACTAGCTTCAGGGGAACTGCTGTTATACTCTGGTCATGAAGAGGAAAATGCTTCACATACACAAGGAGTTGCACTGATGCTGTCAAAACATGCACAAAAGGCACTGATAGGATGGGAATCTCATGGACCCAGGATCATGAAATCATCCTTCAAAACAAAGAAAGAGGACATTACAATGAACGTCATCCAATGTTATGCACCTACCAATGACTACAATGACGACGTTAAAGATCAATTCTACGAAAGGCTGCAGTCAATCGTCGAGAAATGTTCACCAAAGGATTTGACGATTCTTATGGGAGACCTGAATGCGAAGGTTGGAATGGACAACACTGGATATGAAGACATCATGGGACGACATGGACAGGCAGAAAGGGACGACAATGGTGAAAGATTTGCAAATCTATGGTCATAGGCGGCATAATATTCCCACACACACGCATACACAAAGCCACATGGATTTCACCGGACCACACTACTCAAAACCAGATTGAGCATATCTGTATTAACCTAAGGTTCAGAAGGACCATAGAGGATGTGATAACCAAAAGAAAAGCTGATATAGCCTCATATAACCACTTGCTGGTCGCTAAAATGAAACCGAAACTCAATAAACACTGGATAACGGGGCAGACAACATCACATAAGTTTAATACGGCCTTTCTTCGGGATACAGTAAAACTCAACGAATTCAAAATAGGCCTCAGCAATAAGTTCCAGGCCTTGTACGATATACTCAATGGAGAACAATTGGAAAGGGATCAAAGAGGCAATCACTTCAACATGTCACGAAGTTCTGGGTCACAAGAAGTACCATCACAAGGAATGGATCTCTGTTGATACTCTTGCAAAAATTGGAGAAAGGAGGAACAAGAAGGCAGCAATCAATATCAGACGAACAAGAGCAGACCAAGTTACCGCACAAGCTTCATACACAGAAGCAAACAGGGAAGTGAAGAAGAGCATCAAAGCTGACAAACGAAAATATGTGGAAGATCTAGCAATGACGGTGGAAAAGGCTGCAAGAGACAGAAATTTGAGACTATTGTATGTAACAACAAAGAAGCTGGCCGGAAATTATCGTAAACCAGAACGACCAGTGAAAAGCAAGGAAGGCAAAGTAATCAGCAACACTGAAGAACAGCGAAATAGGTGGGTAGAGCACTTTAAGGAATTCTTGAATCGACCATCTCCACTGGACACACCCAACATTGAAGCAGCATCCACAGACCTCCCAATTAATACTGTCGCACCTACGATTGAGGAGATCAGTATGGCCATCAGACTAATCAAGAGCGGAAAAGCAGCAGGACCAGACAACATTGCAGCAGATGCAATGAAAGTAGATGTAGAAGCAACTGCGAAAACATTTCACATTCTCTTCAAGAAGATTTGGGATGAGGAACAAGTACCATCAGATTGGAAAGAAGGATACCTCATCAAAATACCAAAGAAAGGCGATCTCAGCAAGTGTGAGAACTACAGAGGCATCACTCTTCTCTCAATACCAGGCAAAGTCTTCAACAGAGTATTGTTAAACAGAATGAAGGACTTCGTAGACGCCCAACTTCGAGATCAACAGGCCGGATTTCGTAAGGATCGATCATGTACTGACCAAATTGCTGCATTACGGATCATTGTGGAACAATCAATTGAATGGAACTCACCACTCTACATCAACTTCATCGACTACGAGAAAGCACTCCATAGCGTTGCTTACTCTCACCCTTTGTCTTTCTCTCGGTCATCGACTGGATTATGAAGACGTCAGCATCTGGAGGGAAGCACGGTATCAACTGGACAATTAGGACGCAGCTGGAAGATATGGACTTCGCAGATGACCTGGCTCTTCTATCTCACACTCAACAACAAATGCAAGAGAAGACGACCAGTGTAGCAGCAGCCTCTGCAGCAATAGGTCTCAACATACATAAAGGAAAAAGCGAAATTCTCCGATGCAACACAACATGCACCAACCAAATCACTCTTGATGGAGATGCTTTTCAGGACATTAACATCTTTACATATCTGGGCAGCATCATCGACAACCAAGGTGGATCCGATGCAGATGTGAGGGCACGGATTGGCAAAGCGAGGGCTGCATTTCTACAGTTGAAAAATATCTGGAACCGCAAACAACTTCCAACCGAAACCAAAATCAGGATTTTCAAAACAAATGTCAAGACAGTTCTACTGTATGGAGCGGAAACTTGGAGAACTACCAAAGCCATCATCCAGAAGATACAAGTGTTTATTAACAGTTGTCCACGTAAAATACTTTTGGTCCATTAGCCAGACACCATCAGCAACAACCTACTGTGCGAGAGAACAAACCAGATTCCAGTGGAGGAGGAAACCAGGGAGAAGCGATGGAAGTGGATAGGACACATTATGAAAAGTACCTAACTGCTTCACAAGACAAGCCCTCACTTGGATCCCTCAAGGCCAAATGAAAAGAGGAAGGACAAGGAACACATTAAGCCGAGAAACGGAGACAAACATGAGAAGAATGAATAACAACTAATCGGATAGTTCTGGAAAGGGAAGCCCAGTAAAGATTGGGTTGGAGAATACTTGTTGGCGGCATATGCTCCATTGGGGGTCACAGGCAGAAGTAAGTAAGTAATGCTTGTCAATTAATTTTAGTGACTGGTGAAGATTGTTGAATTTCAACGTTTTCTTCACGGACTAAAATTAGATAACTGTTTAAAACTGACAGTCAATAGCCAGCTGTTTTGTAATGTGACAGTGCTCCTCAACGTTTCTAAAAGTTCGCTGAATGGAGTTGTTTTCGTAACAACTCGTAGGTGGATACAATAATCATACCTGCGAGTACTGACCTAGTGAAGGATTAAAGTGTTGTATGCAGTAACAATCAATCTATCTAGTTATGCTACTTGACTCTCTCATTAGAAACATATTCTATCATCGTTATTTTGAACTGCAACATGTACAGATTATATTTGTCTAAACAACGACGTCCGACCAGATGAAAGTGATGGATTTCAAAGTCGGAGTACTAAAGAATCGATAATCATTATTAGGAATATGTTGTCTAATTAACATGATAAAAGCGTATTTATCTATCCATTTTCTCAAGTGATAGCAATCAACATGACACAGGTAGCATCATAAAGTATTCAACAGAAGTTATCAATATGGACACTATTTCTTCTTCCATGCATTTTTTACAGAAGAACTTATTCACACGGTCAAATATATTATTCATAAGAGGGAAACTAAAGAATGGGCGATGAGTTTGTACCTACATAACAGTGATTAAATTCATGGTACGAATTAATGAAATATCAAAGAGATCATCAAACCTTGTCTTTTCTATATTCTGATATTAAATAGAACTGTTGAGCACCATTAAGATCTTTAAAAGTTTATTATCATTAGCTTAATTACTTAATCTCAATATAAGCTTGAAAATTATATTTACTTCCTGTTCATATTTTTAAAAACATTATAACAATTGTCTGTCAGAATTTCGTAGAAATTATAATATACGCATTTGAAATCGAGAGG